CCCACATAAAGTAACTAGAAGCCGCCAAATTCCACAATAGAGATAATGAATGGGAAAGGTTATAACAGTGCAGAAGTGGGGTGAGGGAAGAACTACCGGTACCTAATTTATAGCTCTCCTGTTCTAAGAGTGAGCATCATAGAAATATTTTCCATGGGGTAAATAAAACATACAGCTCTTTATTAAGCATACATGGCAACTTTTCTAATTCCGAATCTCTTACAAAACTTTCATACAAATTCAAAATAATTTAAGTCCACAAAATTATAGTTTTATAAAAATCAACTACCATACATCTCATGTGAAAACCAGGGTCATATGTGTGTGTGTGTGTGCTCACTCGTGTGTGCATGCATGTGTGCATGTATGTGTGTTTGTGCGCACATGCGCACACACGTTTAACTCTAAGCTGAGTTTGAACCAGATACCATATAATTAGATTCTATTTATACTCTCCCTGGTCTTTTTGGCAATAAAGACAGCATATCACAATGTGTCATTTCAATATTATACTACCGGGCATGTCAAACTAAGAATTAGTGTAAATAAAAACCATCTAGAACTAAAGACTCTTTTTTAATAGTACCAAATAAAGGAATTCTCTGAACTTCCACAAAAAAACCTTAGCAATTAGCATCCTTTAGAAACAAAATATTATATAGAATATGAAAAAGTACTAATATGTTAATATGGTTTTAAAAATTAAATATTGCACCAAATTAACTGAAAGCACTGGAATATTGTCTCAGCTATTTTTAAAAATTCTAAGCTACTTTTTAAAAATTCAAGTCATTGCTGTTAGAAAAGGCCTTCCATTATTATCAGAGTGTGTGGTTGGGTCAGAAGATGTGGAAGGTTAAGGAGAACAAAGACAACAGTCACTATGCTGGGGGAAAACAGAAACTGTAAACAGACTAGTCCCAGAACCAGATATCTATACCCTCCATATGGGAATTCACCACAAATGTTCTTAAATGTTACATGTATTTCATTTACTAATTATTTAGCATCAAGTCACTTTATCTATACAAAGATTTCTAGACCAATAGTCTCACTGCATGTCTGTCTAGTCATTCCAAATATCTGCAAGTATAAACCAAAATTTCATACTGAATCCAACAGTAGTAATTCAAATAAATAGAATGTCAAAGTTATCATTTTATTAGCCTATCTCAAATTTAATTGTTAAAATTGACTTCTTGTTTTCATAGTAAACTATGTTCTTTAGAGAAAGGTACCAAGACTAGACTAATTTTTGAGAAAAAAGCATAAAGTCTCTAATTTTTCATCAGTCATCTTAATTTTATAATGAGGAAAGCTACAAGGGGGTTTCGCCTCCATACTCATCTGAAGATGACCTAAACTAAGATAAAACAAGCTAAACAGTAAATACAAAATTATTTTATCTGAAACTGTAAGAAATCTTTTCTATCATGGAAGACTTTATGAACACTCTTCATTTTAACAGACAGTATCTAATTCATGATTCATAAATGAAAATGAATCAATCTAAATGTTACACCAGATACAAAGTAAACTCTAATTGGATCAATAAGCAAATGTTAATCATATTGCTATAATAAGAATAATAAAAACCAAAAAGCACCCTACTAGAGAGACATGGAAGGAAATACTGTGATCTGGTGTCAAGCAAAGAATTCTCTTTTTATTTTGTTTGTTTGGGGGGGGGGTTGTTTGATTGTTTTTTTTCAAGACAGGATTTCTCTGTGCAGCTCTGGCTGTCCTGGAATTCACTCTGTAGATCAGGCTGTCCTCAAACTCAGAGATTGCTGTCTCTGCTCCTATGTGCTGGGATTACAGAGGGGCCCACCATACCCACCTTTTAAGCAAAAGATTCTTTTTTTTAAATAATATTTTATTTATTTATTATGTATACAATATTCTGTTTGTGTGTATGTCTGCAGGTCAGAAGAGGGCACCAGACGTCATTAGAGATGGTTGTGAGCCACCATGTGGTTGCCGGGAATTGAACTCAGGACCTTTGAAAGAGCAGGCAATGCTCTTAATCACTGAGCCATCTCTCCAGCCCTAAGCAAAAGATTCTTAAGCATGACATCAAACAAAGGCTAATTGAACTGTCCTCATCAAAATAAAAAACTCTTGTACTACAAGATTATCTGAGAGAAAAAAAGGCTACAGAATAGAAGAAAATATTTGGAAAAGGTTTAACTGGAAAATGTCCTGTATCATAGTGCATAATAAAAGCTCTCAGAATAATAACAAGAAAATAAGTATCTCGCTGGGTGGTGTTGGTGCGTGTCTTTAATCCCAGCACTGGGGAGGCAGAGGTAGGTGGATCTCTGTGAGTTCAAGGTCGGCCTGATCTAAAAGATCTTGCTCCAGGATAGGCACCAAAGCTACAGAGAAATCCTGTCTTAAAGAGAAAGAAAGAGGGCTGGAGAGATGGCTTAGTGGTTAAGAGCACAGGCTGCTCTTCCAGAGGTCCTGAGTTCAATTCCCAGCAACCACACGGTGGCTCACAACCATCTGAAATAAGATCTGGTGCCCTCTTCTGGCGCACGGGCATACATGGAGGCAGAATGTTGTATACATAATAAAAATAAATAAATAAATCTTTTTTAAAAAAGAGAGAAAGAGAGAGAAAAGAAAATAAGAAAAGAAAATACACATACTATTAAAAAAATGCACAGGCACAGTTTACTGGAGTCCCAGAGAATAAAGACAGCAGCATCAAAATTACAACCATGCCCACCACATTTATGGGGTAGCTAAGCCTATGTTCAGCTGAAAAACATCAATTACTGGAAAATATGCATAGCAGGTGGCTTGTACACTGCTGACAGAGATACAGGAGAATGTGGCTCCTTTGCAAAACCAAGGTAAACATATACCCATGACCATGGTATATAGCTGTCCCACTCCAAAATCGAAGACTAACATGCATTAAAAACCCACACTTGGAGTCTTTTGCCATGCTGTTCATAACAGACACAACAGGAAAATACTCAAATCCTTCAACAGATGAATTAAATAGATACTGTTAAAGCATAATAATGGAATATTACCCAACAATATAAAAGAATGAACTACTGAGACATTCAACATTGTAGATAAATTTCAAAAGCATGATGATAAAAAAAAGGAAAATTTCAAAAGATTATGAAACAAATAAATCTGTTCATATGACACCCACCAAAACAAAACCAATCATAACATGAAAGAACAAGTTACTGGTTGCCAAGGGGATAGATTAAGAGTGGGAAGCTATAAAAGGGAGTGGGAGGTTGTTTGTTTGTGGGGTAATAGACTGTTCAGAGTAAATCATAATGGTGAGAGGAGCAATGTATGCATGTGAAAATTCACAGAGCTGTGCAGAAAAATATAAATTGTTATGTAAGTCTGAGACATAAAATAAAATCAATATTCCAAATAAGCAAAACATACAAAAATGTACCAATGTTAGTTTTTCTTTTAAAAAAGAATTAACTAGAAGTCTGCCTTTTTCATGCTTCAGTGAACCAAATCAACTACTTAAGGTCATTTTTTAACTATCCAGCATTAAGACCAAGGCCTTGCACATAACAAGGCAAGAACTTCCCCGTGAATCTGTATCCCGAACCCTAACACCATTATTTTCAGAATTTTGTAAATTCTAAGTTCAAAAGTGGCTTACACCAGTACCCAAATCTCTAAACGTACTTCTCTTCATCTTGCGTTGCTTATAAATTAGGAAGAGAGTATGCTAAGTTCTCCCAAACTGGAATCTACCCACATTCTTTCTGTCTGCCTTTATACTTAAAGGCATTGGAAGAATGAGAGGTGTGAGTATCTAAATTGCAGTTTGTATTTGAGTGCTAGTCCCTTAATGTTAGATTGAGGTCATTCATCCTCAGCAAGGCTGTCATGTAACCCATGCAGTGCAGCATTCTGTCATCAGATGCTGTGCACTTTAAGTTTTCCCTTTACTGATAATTTTTGTTTTTAACCATGTGACCAAGATGTTATGGGGCACACTTCTCTATTCATGTACTTTTGTAATCAGTAAGCATTTTGCTGGGGGAGATGCCTTAAGACTGTAAGTAATCCATCTCACATCACACTGAAATTTTATCATTTATTTCTTAAAATGTCAGAGCCATTGGTTTCTTCCCCATGATTTATAACTATAGAATTGCGATTGACTTCAGTGCTCAAATTTCCACCCCTAGCGACATCTCCTAGTCAGCGCCTACACCTGATTGACAGGTTCCTATCATTTTTTTTAGGTACTGTTCATCATTTAACTCCATCTTCATGTAGGCTAAGAGTAAACCATTCACAATCACAGTCAGACCTCAGGGTTGTGCTTTCAATTCCATCTTTAACCTAAGGAATCAGTGCAGCCCTGTCCTCTCTTCTGCACGATTCTTCCTTTTCTATTAAACCATTCCCCATCCACACATATACATTCTGTAAGTTCTTAACCTTTAGAAAATATCTCCACACAGTGTCTGCTGCTGCTGCATCTTCTCCTATCATTCTCTGTTGAACAAGACACAAGCTTTCACTCCCACCAGTCTGCAGAGTTGTTCTCGTCACATCCATTAGTCACTTCTGTGTTGCTAAGTGGTTGGAGTCTCAGTGATCATCGTGATCACTGTATCATCGGCATCTCTCAACAGACATAGTACTCACCTCCTTAATTTTTTTCCTTCCCAGTCTTCCAAAACAAAACCCTTCTAGATGACCTTCCTGTTCCCATTGCTTCCACATCCTTTTTCACTGCTCCTTCTCAGTGTTAGAACGACCCAGAGCTCATTCTTTTTTTCATTATGGGTATAAATATCATTTCACTGACTACTGCTGAACTCTTATTTTCTGCCCTAGAACTCCATATCCAGTACCTTTTCACTTAATTTGTAACCCTCTTGAATATTCATCATTCCCAAGCCAAGCTGTCCACGTATTCCTGCTCCTGCAGTTTTTCCCATCTTGGCAACTGGTCCCTCCATCTTTCTTGTTGCCCAGGCCAAACAAACCTTGGAATCATCCTGGACTCTTCTTCTCTCACAGTCCACATCTGATCCATCAGTAAATCCTGCCGTCTCCACCTTCAAAACATACAGGAATTTCGCTCACCACTTCTATGTCTACCACCCCAATCCAAACCACCACCATCTCTTTCTGGTACACTGGAAAAGCATCCGTTGTTGATTCCTCAGCTTTCATACTTGCTTCTCCAAATTAACTAAAGTAACAACTGTCAGGAGGTACTTTAAGAAACGTTACAATTAGAGCTAAATGCTTCTGAAGAGCTTGTGTTAAAGATGTGGCCCCCAGGAAGCATTGTTCAGAAGCAGGTCCTTTGGGAAGAGGTTCACTTTAATAGCATCAATGGGTTAATAGCTTAACAGGAAATTGGACTTAAGGATGTGGGGCCTAGTTGGCAAAAATAGATTACTGAGGATGTACCTTCAGGGCCTCTGCCAACTCTCTCCTTTTCAACAGTCATCAAGTGTGCAAAATACACTTCTCTTTTAAGTTAATTTTTTCAAGTATTTTGTCATAGCAACAGAAAGCCAACTGGTATAAAGTGGTAAATTAGATTATGAGATTATACTTTTAAAACTAATTTTAATGATGTTCTATTTTTTTCTATAATCAAAGTTCATGTATGCACCAGTCAAATGTTACAAAAGATAAAAACACTATGATCTGTAGATATGTAATTAAAAAAGACTAAATAACATTCAGAAAGCTATCTCATTTCTGCTATGTTTTGCTCTTATTATTTTGGATAGCAGTTTAAAACCAGGTACCAAAAACCTTCAATACATAGTCTTTGGTCCAGATTTTCAGTAGTAAATATCTATTCTAAGGATATAATCAGACAATATCTAAACAATGTACACATAAGAATTGATACAGTAGTGCTAATTTCAAAGTACAGAAAACAGATTCAATAGTCCTGACAGCACTGTTTGTAAATTTTGGCAGATTCATACAGTAAGAATGCATGCAACTGTTAGTTACTGACATCTAAGAGTTGGCTTAAAAATAAAACAGCAGATATTTTGACTGCTGCCTGCATCTGGGATTTCAAGTAACCTTTCCCCAATGTCAGTTTTTTAATGTTTGAATTTTCAGAGCATCAGTTATCATATTAAAAATAGATAAATCAATCTGTATACTTTCACTGGAAAAAGCAAGTGGAACCAGAAAATTGTACAGAGAGAGGCACTTCTTCCGTAAGAATCTGAGCCCCTCCTCTGCTCCCAACAGTCTGGGGATGGCAGTCTTAGCACTATTGCTCACTTGATGCTAACTGCAGCTAAGCACTCTGAAGACTGTCGTTTTGACACAGTACTACTATTTTCTTTCAACTAGACTTCATAAAAATCCATAATCAAAACGATAATGAAATTTTACAACATTTTTCAAATACAGTACACTCATAAGCCAGCCAAGTACAATTACCTATCTCCCTTTGGTTTTCTTTTTTGCAGTGTCTTCCCTTTAGGTCTTCTTTCACTTCCTAAGCAGGGGCTCCCACCTGGGCCTGTTACCCGTATTGACTCAAGGCCTTTGGGGGATTTTTTAAATGTAAATTCCACTGGCTCTCCTTCTTTCAAGCTTCTAAATCCTTCCATGAATAGTTTGCTCTGTAAAGAGTAGGAGGGGGAGAGAGATCATGATTATCAGTGCTTTATAAATCATCTATAATTTTAAGGTTATCAAAGCAAGAAATTCTGTTATCCATTATAAAAGTATAGTTTTTTTTCATTTTATTGAAGTTTGACAAACCTTACAATGCTGGCAGTTGAAAGCCTATACCACGTTGCAGAAAGCATTTAATAATACAGAAATGTAAATGTACACATTCTTGTCCCATCCATTCTACCACAAAGGTTCTAGTATAAAGTCAGAGCAATGCTGCCAACGTGACCTGAGCTCAGGCCCCAGGACCGCATGGGAAAGGAGAAAACTGACTCCAAGCTGTCCTCTGACCTCCACATGTGCACCATATTCACATACATACACATGCATGTGCGCGCACACACACATGTGCGCACGTGTCCCCAATAAATAAATGCAGTAACACTTTTAAAAGAAGATCCTACCATATAAGCTCACATAGAGATTCATTTTTTTAAGCAACTATAGCACTGTCTGGCAAATTGTACCAGCCTTAATAACATTTTAATTCCACTGATTAAACAAATTATACTAGAGTTACATAATATAATATTATCAATGTTAAGATTTCTATTTAGCTCTGGGCAGGTGGTTTTACTGTTTCTGCCCTACCCACTGCTCACTTTGTAGTGTGCTAAATAATGTCTTTTTTCTTTTGAAAAATATATTTAGAGCTATATGTATTGATGTAAAAAACATGTGATACTATTGTGCCTAAAAAAGAACCTGTGCCTACCATAATGCCATCAACAGTTTTTCTTTTATTTTTAAGTTCACATTATATTTATATCATTCCCCCCTTTCCTTTCCTCCCTCCAAGCCCTCTTATATACTCCTCTTTGCTATCTTTCAAATCCATGGCTTCTTTCTTCATTTATTGCTATGACATTTATATACCATGTGGGTGTTATATTTAGTGATATGCATATATGCATATATGTATACAGATCACTAAATATAACCTGCACAGTCTGTACAGTGTTGCTCATATGCATTTTTCAGGGATAACCATTTGGTACTGGGTCAGTAGTACAACTGTTAAAGATTCATATTTACTCTTGTAGAGATGGAGCACAGAGCAAGTCACGTGAACAGTCACCTTCTCTACTCTGTTGTAAAGCAAAAAGTTTTCTATTTGATAATTTATTGTTTTAGGAACATTTTATACTAGAACAATTAACTTACATTAATTAAAAAAACTCTTCTCAATTACAAAATTATAACTGTCGGGGAGTGCGGGTGTTACAACTTTACAAAGATGTCCTGACTTATCAGAAAGCCAGGCTATACTTAGAGCAGCAACAGTACAGCCTTGGACGGGAAGAGCTGCAATAGGACAGCTCTGGAGGCTAGGGTCACAATAGGACAGTTCTGCTCTGGAGGAAAAGGTGACCTGACTTGTCAGGAAGCCAGACTACCTGAATCTGGGGTGCAGTGGGGGATGCTCTCCCTGCAGGATATAGCAATCCTGCTCCTCTCCTGGAGAGCCTGTACAGGTGAGCTCTGCTTTTCCCTCCCAAGATCTTACTTCTTTTGCTAACACTCTGTTAAAGGGGAAGTCCCTGCAGAAACGTAGCAATCTCTTTTGGCTCCAGCAAAAACTTGTTACTTTTTCTGCTCAGCTTTGTTCAGTCCCTCTTAGGGAACATCCCAGCAAGGTTCTTCTATTTTGCTCAACCTTGTTCAGCCCTCCTAAGGGAGCATCTCAGCAAGGTTATTCAGCTCAGTCTCCTAAGGGACTTCTCAGCTAGGTTCTTCTGCCCTGGTGAATAAAGAGCGTCACCCAAGACTCTTAAGAAAGAGATTTATTTGGGAAGGAGAGTGGCTGCCTCTGTCAGGTGGGTAAAAGGCAGCTTCCAACTGAACAGCAGAGACGCTTATATAGGGCTTCTTTTAGGGGCGGAGTTTTCCCATGGAGAAGAGGGATTATTTAGTTTTCCCTGTTTAGGGATTGGTTTAATTGGTTAGGGGCAGAGATGGCACTGATCTCAAGGCCAAACTGTATTTCTTTCACTGGCTCTGATTCTAGGGACAAAGTGTTTCTTTGGCACTGGTTTCAGAGTCAGGGCATATTTCTTTGGTTCTGGGTTCAGGGCTAAGGGTGTTTCTATCCCTGGCTCAGGTCTCAGAACCAGGGTGTGTTTTTTTTACTGGATCTGGGTTCAGACTCAGGGTGCTCAGGGATTGGTTGGCTTCCTGCTCCACCCTACAATAACCTGAATTTCAAATACTCCTTCACTAATTTAATATTTCTTTTTCTGTTAAGGTGGATATGCTGATTTAAAATATAGTAAGATAATTAAGTCATTAGACTTTTTTTTTATTTACCTGTCTGGATTCTTTTTGTGTATTTTGCAAATCCGACTTGGAAGACCTCGCAGTTTGTAAGGACTTCTCTGATCTAATGTGGAAGGCTGTGCAGTTTGTAAGGAGTTTTCTGAGTTTGTGTGGCAAAAGAAAGAAGCAGTTACCGTCTGTTCTGCTGATGCATAAACTCAGGCACTTTGTTCTTAGTGACAATGGACCCGAAAAAGAGACTGTGCTCCACTGAACATGTCAAATGCTGCTTCTCTTTGGAACAGCCACCTCCTTATATTAGTATCAAAATTGTACTCTCCTTCCCAACTATCTCCAGGATAAAAATCTTAACGTTGTATAAACCAACAATGTCCTCACTTAGTTGATCAGAGGTCAGAAAATCATTACTTCAAGTCCATAACCCTAAAAACATCTGCTAGGGTTTAGACATGTTTTATATCCTGTCCCCAAGAATTCACAGATCTAAAGCTGGGAAACAGTGTGCAGTTTTCTGGAGACTGGGCCTACTAGGAGACCCACAGGTCAACTGGACTCATGCTCTCTAAAGAGACTATGGACTGCAGTCTCTCTGACTTCCTGTTGTGTAGTGCAATCTCTCGTCCTGTTGTGCATTCCCTCCATGATGTTGTCTACCCACTGGACTTTTTCCGCAGGCAGAAACAATGTCCCTAGTACCTGAGTGTGGACTTTGAACCTCCTGAACTGTGAACTACATAAGCCTCTTTCATGTGTAAAATTTGTCTTCATTACAGTAACAGTAAACTGGTTGCTAAATACAGTAGTTCCCTTTACCCCTAGTTTGCTTCTCATAGGTTCCATTACCTAAGGTAACAGTAGTTAGAAAATACTAAATGAAAACATTCAGAAATAATTGATAAGCTGAAGATATAAATCAATTTGAGCAGTGACAAAATTCCTGGCTCCTGCATCCCAAAGAGGATGAATCCTCCCTCCAGCATCCTTAGCATACACTTCCTACCTGATCATTAGTGACTCAGCTTCATGGTTATCAGATCAACCCACGGCTCTGCACCACTGCTACTCAAGTCACCCTTCTCTGACTTAGAAAACATGGGGACAAAGCAGTTATGCTAGGATGGTGCTACAGAGTCATTTAAGTTAAAAGATGAATGGTAATGACTTAATAAGGGCTGCAGGGATCAACAATGAAACAAATTTATCCACGATATTACTGAAAAAAAAGGGGAATTCACTGTTCTATCTCAAACTGCAGAAATTAGGCCCACAAAGCATAGTGCTTAGTGTAGAAAAAAGGACACTGAATTTGTAAACTAGCTTAAATAATAAAACACAGCATATAAAGGACTTGGTCCACAGTGTTTCACCTGCGTCCTCTTCTAGCACCCAATGGACATCTTAGAATATATATTCCTCATAAAAAGAAGAGTGCTCTGATGATAAATAGCAGAAATAATTACATGGTATACATAATGACATTACTTCAAAATTTAGTGCAAAGGAGACTATTCATTGTGAAAATAAAATATACAAGAAAATAAAAAACAAGCCAGGTGGTACTGGCACACACCTTTATGCCCAGCAGCTGGGAGCCAGAGGCAAGTGAATCTCTGAGTTCTGTGAGTTCAAGGCTAGTCTGGTCTACAGAGCGAGTTCCAGAATAGGCTCCAAAGCTACAAGAAACCCTGTCTTGGAAAAGAGAGAGAGAGAGAGAGCGAGCGAGAGAGAGAGAGAGAGAGAGAGAGAGAAAGTGAGAGAGAGAAAGTGAGAGAGAGAACCTGTTTCTGGTTTTTATGACTGAAGTCTGTCTTTTCTGCTGCCTGGTGGAATGTGAGGAGGGAAAAAGCCACGACTGCAACGGATCACCCATTCGGACAATTCTAAGAGATAGCTGTCCTTCCTCCCTGTTCACTAAATAAAGCCTTTTTATTTTAAATCGGGAGGAGAGCTAATAGCTGAGTATAAACTAGAAAGGAAAAGCTGTCTAGTCACAGCTCTCCTATGCTCACAGTTTGTTCCTGCAACAAGCATAGTCTGTAGTATATTGCCGTACTTTTATCAACCTAACTTGATTTTTTTCATCATCATTAAGATAGGTATAGTTTCTAGTTTGCACTCAGGCCTAAGGATCCCCAGATCCAACTGGGTGGCAAGAGGGAAGACACTACCACAAGTCGTCCTGTGAACACCATATGGCATGCCTACATATTACACACACACACTATAAAATTTTAAAACAAAGTTATTTTTTAAATCACCATGCAATTAAAGAGAGAACTCTTAGCAAATATTCTCTGGTTAAATATCAAAATAGCTTAAATATAGAAGATCGAGATTTGCTGAAAGGGAGAACTATACTATTTTATCTCAAAATCTACCTTTACCCCGATCTACTGATTTTTATGAATGGCTCCATTGTTTTAGATATACATTCTAATGTTTAGCTGCACATACGCCAGTTACTGATCTTGTGCATAATGACCTCATAATCTCTCTTTTACTCGTTACATCCCTTTCACTGGACTGCCACTCTCCTATTTAAGTCCCAGTATCTTCTCCTAGAATAAGTATATAATAGTTTCTTCCCAGATATTGCAGCCTTGAGTCCCCTCTCTGCTCCACCTAAATGTAGTCTCTGAATAACGACATGTTGTTAGTCTACACGTGT